AATTTTCGTAATTTAGGCTGTAATTTTATTGCTTCTAGTAATAGCCTTAAACCTAGAAGAGCATTCTTCCTCTTGAAAATAACTGTAAATAGTGCCAAAGCTGGCAGTAACTGCTCTTGTTTGGTTACCAGCACAGTTAAGTCACCCAGACAACCTGAACTCATGCTCCCAGCAATGCCTTTAAAACAACCAGGAACTGAGATGCTCTCAGCCTCATGTACGTAGTGCGGACTCCTTGCAAGGTCCACATTCCTGTGCTCCCATTCCCCTTCCAACAGCCAAGGGACACAAGCGTGAGTGTGTCAAGGACAAAAAACTTGCAGTGAAGGCGCTGAACCTGTGTCTGATGCTCCCTGGGGGCTGCCAGTCCTAAAAGACTGCCCTAACCTGATGGTACTAAGAGAGAAAAGGTTACTTGGAAGCATTTTTCTCATCCAGATTAAACCACTCCATCTTTCTTTCTTCTTTTTTTTTGGTAAACTGTAAAGCTGTGGGGACAGTCTCTTTTTTCTGAGCAGCTCTAACAAGTTATTTGGCTTAATGTTTAATATTGATTATCTCCATAAATTGAATAATCCAATTTTCAGAAGGAAAATATCCTGCATGAAGGTGCGATCAACAAGAAAATCAGCTTCTCCCTCTCCCTCCTCCCTACTGCTCCTTCCCCTTTCTTCAAACCCACCAAAAAATAAATGTTTAAGCATAGCACCTCTGTTGGGTCCCCTGTTTCCTCTAGCAGCAAACTGCTTGTGGGCCTGGTGATCTCAACATCTGACCAGTTTGTGTGAGTGAGCAGCTCCTGACATTGCACAGGCACTTACTACAAGTGAGAATTACCAAAGGGTCCATGCTTCCTTGTTTCTCCTGTTGAACTTCACATAATGTGTCTAACAAGTCCTGACCTGTGCAACTACACTAAATCCCTGAATTGTTTGCAATGCTCCCTAGACAATTCAGGCTCTCTTTATCCAATCCTTTTTATGCCTTATAAAGGGAATACAAACACTTTTTCCGAACAGCAAAACTCCCATGAATAAATTATTCTTCTATCTTTCCATCAACCTGTACGTCTTTAAATCCTCATAAAAATGAATGAGGTCCAAAACCACCAGATGGTGCAATAATTTTCTCCAGCTATGTGTCACTAAAAAGTTTTTTTTTCCAATAAATACAGCCCAGCAGCTTTGAAAACTGGCAGAATCTCACAAGCATGAGGTCCTAACTAGTGATGGATGATAGCACCCGCATCTTTCACAACACCAATACTAAACAGAACATCCTGATACTGTCAAGCCAAGGAGGAGGTGCAGAGACAGCAGACAGGGGAAAGAAGGTCTCATTGTCTTTCTAAATCCTCATAAATTCCTTGTTTCTCATTCGTTTTTATCCTTTGGAGCACGGGGAAGAAACAGAGTGCTGGGACAACCCTTGATCACCTCATGGTGGAAGATGAAGAACCTCCTCTTCTCACCTGCACTGAGATCTGAAGCACTCCCGCTCCAGTCTGTCCCCTTCTTCCTCCCTCTCCTTCCTTTGCATGCACAGCGCTCTCTCAGCCACATGCAACCCTGGGCTGCACTTGGCCTCTTGGCTTTGGGGACAAAAACAGTGATGGGAACAGCACAAGGAAGTGGCTTGAGCCAGTTCTTTGAAGCGTCAGGTGAAAGGAGAATACAGCTGTAAGAAGAATCAAAACTGTATTTTCATAAAGGAGGAAAAAAGGATATAGGAGGCAAAGAAAAATTATACAAACTGCCTAGAGGATACCAAAATAGGTGTCAGGCCGAGCCCAAGCCTGAGCCTCAGGGAAAGACAAAGAAAATGACTGATCTCTCTCGGGTTGAAGGAGAAGCTGCTCATAAAGCTTTCAAGGAGCCCCCCACTCAACAAGGGTGGCCAAGCAGGACTGCACTGAGGGCTCCTCAATGTGCATGAGCATCACCACCAGGCCCCAAGAACTTGGATCAGGTTTTGGCTTATTGAGAAACAAGGGAAACGATCCTGGCTTCATTTAAGAGTACAAAGGGAGATGTCACCTCTTCAGTGCAACCTCTTCAGTCACCTCCTCATGACGCAACCCCTAATGCAGCATGCTCAAGACACACTCGTCTAATACTTCAAACGTTCAGAGACTTTGTACAGTGAGTGCAGCACACATCTCTGCTTTTCTGCTGTATTCAAATTCTGTTTATGTATATTACTTAAATCTGAAAAGTGAACAAAGTATGAAAGACATAGAAACAAAAAAATACAAGTCCTATAAAAGTCTCATGAGGGTAACATACTCTTTTCCATATAAATGCTGCAATACAGCTGAAAATTAACAATTAGCATGACTAAAAATTAAAGAATTTTGCTATTTGTATAGCCGCTACCTTGGCAGAGCTTAGTCTAGTACCAGCTGAGCTCATCTCCAAACCTTCTGGACCCACAACACACCCAGCATAAACTTCCCCGTGTTTCCAGCAAGCAGGTACCCAGCTGGCTTTGCCCAAGCATCTCTCAGTGCCGCTGGTATCCTGCTGATATGATACTTCTGGCTTGGGCTTCAAGTAGCTTTGATGAAAAGCTTCACCGAGTCTGTGAACAAAACTACAGCTGATTTCTTCAGGCTTTGAATCAAGGTCTTCATTGCTAAGATCCAACGGCCGTTCCAGCAGTTGAGTAATGTGAACAAATATTTACTACACACCAAAATGAAAAAGTAACAGGGTTTTTTTGCCCCCTCCTGTCTAGCCAATATTCGAATGAGACTTGCTATTTGGTTTTACATCTCTTGAAAGAGCTGTTTACAATGGACACATAAAAACCATCCTTCTCCTGAGGAAGGCAGTAGCAGATTTCAAGCTATCTGTCATTAAGAATTAGAAAGATTTAAGAAGGGAAAAAAGCCCTCACCCAAAGAAGTGGGCTAAGTGCTGCATTTTTACTTCCCAAAAGCTTGCATGAACCCCTCTCTCAGTTTGGCTCACATGGAAACTGCCTGTCCTCCAATTTTTAGCAATTTAAAGTACTAAAAGGAAAACAGCCAAAAGTACCAAATTTTCAATGAAAAACATGTGAAGCCATCAAGTTTAACACTGTTTCCAACCTCAGCTATAAATCAGCTGGGTCTGCAAAAAAAATTACACTCTTCAGCAAAACCTAACTACAGTTTTCTGTTTGCAATGAAACCTGAAACCAGGAAAATTTCACCTGATTCTGTTACAAAACTTTTCAATAGCATAACCTAATGTAAAGTTTTGTGTATATTTTCATCCCACTTCCTATACAATAAAAAAAAAGCCACAAAACTTGTTTAATGATATTCTCCCCGAAGAATGATCACAGTAATAAATAAAGCATAAACACTGACAGAACCGCGATAAAAATTATGTTTGTACATGAGAATGCCTACAGTAATACATTCTTCTGTTTTATGACTGTCTCCTTTTTGTCTGCATAATGAAAATATCTCACTTGGTTGGAATCACGGCGGCAATATTTCACTGCTACAGTTCTTGCTTTTTTTAAACAGACAGCTCTTTAATCTTGCAAAGGCAGAGTCTATATTTATAAATAAAGAACTTCATTCACGGTGAGTCAAGGCACAAAAAGCTTCTGGAGAGACTGACTTACAATAACCATTATTATCCTTTTTAAACCTCCGGGCACAAACCAAATCTCTGACTACCCCTTTCATACTTGAACAATTTTTCATCTTAACCACAAAATGAAGCACAAGGGTTGAGAACCTGGGATAAAACAGTGTGATACTCTGCTCTGAACTGTATACCAAACCACTGTTAAAAGTTTTCCAATGTAAGATAAAGCCTTATCACTTTCTGAGCAGCTTCCAAGGATGTTCCAGGTGGATGGCAATTCTTCATGAGCAATGGCCATCATCAAATTGTTATCCAGGGACTGCAGATTTTTTATCCTTAGCCCAAACTTATCCAGCAACATATTGTGACTAGCGGCAGTGACACATTCTGAGTGATCAACCAGAAACCAAGACAACTTGCAAGACAGATTCTCTCTGTAAGTGACAGGACAGATGCCGAGGACCACAGGTGAGTATCCCCTTGTGAACATTAACACAGAGACAGAAACTGCTTCTTGGCATCCATGGCCTGTAATTATAATGTAAATTAATCACTAACATTACCTATGTTCAGAAAATACATTCATTTTTCCTCATTGCCCCCTGCCTCTAAGAGCTGTGACTACTCATCCAGAATTAATTTCTTCTTCCCTCTAATTACATTTATTTGTCGTAGGGCATCCACCAACCATTTCTGGTGATGAACTTGGATTCAACTAGGCTGTGAACTGCCGCCAGTCTTCCCAATTATACTGAGATAATCAGTTCTAGAACCAGTCTATCTAGGGGAAGGTTTTTTAACCACAATGGAAAGAAGAGGTAACCACATCAGAATGAAATCTCACAAATCAATAGCCTGAAAGTTCTTGGATAAGAATTAAGAAAAATGAGACACTCATAAAAAGAGTGGCAGAGCGGCCTGCAACACGAACTCTGAGTAATAGATCTATTTATTAACACCCATTTTGTACATACCCAGTGTCTCCATGTAGGCCAAAACCCAGAAGCTTTTAACTAATGCATGCTTCATGCTTTTGGCAGACTTGATTAATTAGTAGCTTACAGCTGAGACCCTCAAAGTCCAAGGGAGTTTGTCTCTCAAACCTCTTAAGCACCTCGTGCATCCCTCATCCCCCTCAGTCCAACTAACTGAGGGTGGAGGTCATACATCTAAAAGAGCTGCAAGCTGTACCTCTCACTAGAGAGTTAACCATGAGGTATTAAGAGTGCAAATGTAAATTTTCCAAAATATCCTTGAATAACTACAAGTATATATGCAGTCTACTAACTGCAGAAGCAAGCACGTACTTAACCACATCTGCAGTTGTTTTTCAAGTGCTCTGCATCCCCTTATGTTTAATTTGGCCACTACAAAATGACACTAACATTGGCAGGGCTATATTTTAACCTCACACTTTATTTTCATCTGTTCACGGCTTCTGTTGGGAACAGGCAGAGGATTAAATGTTGCCTGCAGCCTCCTGTTTTTATTCCTAGCCCAGAAGCAGTCATTTAACAGTGTCATTTCAAGCGTCTAAAAAAAAAAAAAAAAAAACCAAAAAAAGACAGACTGCTACCTTGGAATAAGCCTAGCATTGCATTTTCTCCAGCTTTATTCCATGACAATCATTTACCATTTACAGGATCAAAGGAACCACTGTGTAATGGCAGAGAACTTTCCCTTTTTATACTCAGCAGTTATTTTTGGACTCTAAATCCCCTTTAGAAAACAAGAACATAACAAGCATATCCTATTGCACAGGTACACCATGTCTATAGCCACCTACTCGCAGAAATTAAAAGGCCACAAAGCACACAATAAAGGTGACAAACAGGGTTTATGTTACATCCACAAGGGGACAACGCCAAGGCAGAGAGCCGGCTGGGAGGCAACACAATCCCCCTGTCTGCAGCAAGGCACCCTGAAATGGTTTCCTCAGCGCATTCGCACCATGTATGATTCCAGCAGAGCTCCATGTCCTGCACACCTCCACCATGAGAGCCTTGCAAACTGGGCTGACTGCTGCACCAAGGGAAGGCTCAGGCAAAAACATGACTTTTGCAGGTGTTAGGATGCCTGGAGGCGAACAGTTGGGGCATAGAATTAATTCACATTAAAAATTATGCAATCTCTGAAGATTGCACTTGAATGCACACCCAACTATGCAAGCCCAGTAACACTGTCTACACCTCATACTGTGCTGGTGTGGATTGCTATGAAAGGCAGGATCACATATGGTCAGTCAAACTCAACCTGAATCCTAAAGGCCATCATTCAGTTCCTGCATTTCCTCCATTACCGAGCCGTAAAACAGAGTTATACCATATCGTCCAGTTGTGCCCAGCTTTGAAATGGGGGTGGGGTATAGCAAAGAGATGAAAAATGTAAACAGGAGTTAACTCTCACCTGGAACAATGGACTGAAGAGCGTTGTCACTAACCCGCTCAGCAAACATTATGTGCCTCTTCAGGGACCCATCATAAACAAAGTAAAACTTGGCATCCTCTGGGAGGTAAATGTCTTTGTCAAATTTTGCATTTATAGTCACTTGTCCCTAAAAAATGAAAGCAGTAAATTCCTCATCTCCAACAAACTCATTGATACAGACTTCAGATGCAAGTTTATTATAACCTTTTCAACCCTACTACACATAGGCTGTGATCCAATGACAAATCTGCAATTTTCTACTTCCACTTAGAAAATAACACTGGTTTTATGCCTGCACAAGCAAAGGTGATTTTAAAAACTGCCTTTTAAATAATGTCTTCCAACTAATTCCTTCATCCTGATCCCCATAAATATAACTGACTTTTTATTTAGAACACACCAGAATAGGCAAGTCAGGGAGCCTGAGTATTTTGCTATTTACAAAAGCATGCTTTGTTAGAAAATAAAAAGAAATTCAAAAGTGCTTGAAATGATCTTACAAAACAAAAGCACTGATGTAACTCTACAACTGACTATGCTGGTTTCAAAAAGTACTAGTTCCCAGATATCTGCCCATGGGTTTCTTCATAGTAAATAGAAAGCAACCAGCCAAGAAAAATCTGTCATACAATAGCTTCAAAAAAGAACAGGAAAGGGATCTGAGAAGCAGCAAACAATAATGAATGTCTGACATGTCTGAAGGAGGAAATTTAGATGAAGTTGCATTTCCTCGAAGAGAAGGACAGCGTGCTCCGCCACAGTCCCTGGATGCCACAGTTTTTCTAAACAAGAGAGAATTGCCCCAACATCTGGCAGAAATGGTGTTTTCTGGAAAACATGCTGCAGAAGAATATCTCAGCTGTTCACACATCCAAACGATGCCTGCTCTGCCTCTATTCAAAACAGTTACCACAGCACTGACTCCACCAGCTCCAGAACCAAGTCTAGTAAAAACCTGCACAGAAGCACAACACCGTAGCACAGAAATTTCCGTGGCTGAAAACCACAGTTATGCCCCCGTTTGTCCTGACAAGCATCCGGCTCCTTCCCTTGTTCACTACCCGGCAGACATACACTTCACTGCAGCGAGACTCTTGCCGCCCCCCACAGCGTCACATCTTCGCCTGCCTTCCCCAAGGACATCTTTCTCGTCAGTCGTAACAATGAGAATCCTGCATTTGTTTTCCTCTTGGATACAGGCGGGTCTGTTGAACTAGGGGTGAAGAGGCAAAGGCTAGTTTCAGGCACAAAATCCTCCTTAGATAGGATTGTTCCTGTAAGGATAAATGTAAACAACATTTTGAGTCCAGTATGGAGAGCAAACATGCCTGTCATTCCCAGAAACTGGTAACGCACCTCTTTTTAGTAGCCTGAAGTATTATTATAACTGCCAAGTGTTTTCTCCTATTTCTCTTTGGGTTTTCACTGTTATACACAGAATTTATTATTATTATTGTTGTTGTTGTTATATCATCCTTTTTTTTTTTTTAAACCTTTTTATGTTAGTTGTGAATAGCCCTTTTTGTCTGTGGAGTAATATTATGGATGGCTATTTTGGGAAGACAGGAACAGGGTAAGTCACTGAAGATGCTCCACAGGCTGGCCCCG